AAAGTTTGGCAAGATGGAGGCAAACCCAAAAAGTGAAAAGAGATCAAAAGAAGTAAGGTTTAAAAGGAAAAAAACAAGAAAAATCTGAATTTTTGGTTTGGAATTAGAACCAACTAGAGCGCATAAGATATTATAAAATCCTAGATAGGTGACCATATAGTTTGAACTCATTCTATCGAAGTCCTTTGCTATTTACATTGATCTTCATTGGCCACTTGGGTCATCCCATGATGGTATAGAACTTCATACATGAAATTATCAGGAAGTGGAGAAATTTCATAATCTTGTTCAATTGCTTCCCAATAATCACAACTCTCCATATAGGCTTGTATTGTGATTGCCCATGATAGTTTTCACTATCAAACATAAGTGGAGCCAGTGAAGAAATATTGCTTGATCCTAACTCCATTGGACAAAACTCTCAAAGGTGTATCACTTAGTTTCTCTTGGGAATATTTCACTAATCCTCACTCACATATCCGTTAAGAATTTAAGGCTCTGATACTACTGTAATTCTTATTATCGAGAGAGAAAGTGGGGAAGTGTTAGTTTCATTCAATGATGCTACATATTTATACACACTCTAAGTCTAAAAATAGACTCAACTAATTCCACATAAAAAAGCAACTACTCTACTAGCCATAAGAATAGCAACCTCCCTAATTGACTTTACTATAACAAAAAATAACCCTAACAACTTCCTAGAAACTAGGACTTGGACTAGACAAATTCAAAAACTAAAAGAATCAAACTTGCAATTTGAGTTAACTTACAATTTTACCTATGCTAGGAGAGAATTCATAAGGGAGTAATGATTAGTTACCTTTGTGGGAACACGTATGCATGGACCCCAATTTGTAATAGAGTAGATTTGATAGTAATCTATAAAGTAGGAGGAGGAGAGCAACCAACCTTTGAGGAGACTGATCTTTAGATTTATATTTGCTATTATCCTATTATTTTAGAATTGCTTTCATGTTCTTTTTGGAGTATTGACTCTTTATATTGAAAGTCTTATAATGTTTCAATCTTATTTCACTTTTATATGTTATATTATATCTTATATCTGTTATAACTTCTTTATTTCTTTATATATTTACATATATATTCTTATGTATTTTTATGCAGTGTGCCTCGTGAAAAAAAGCCAACGTAAGCTCTAGAGTGCGCTTTAGTGCTCAAGCTTTAAAAAACACTGATTAAGGCACACCAAAAGTAAGAAGATGGATAATCAAGTCGGAGTTGTTGAGAGTCCTTTGGGATTGCTTGCCCATTGGTTGAAGAGTAAGTGAAAAAACTATCGAGGATAGAGAAGACGATGGCAAGGGAATCAGTTTTATAAGGTTTGAAGTGCAACTCTGAGAAAGCAGGAAGAATCAAAGAGGACAGTGACAAAGCTGTGAATGGAGATAGAGAGGAAATGTCACATTGGTCACTTGTCAAGGGAGATGTAAAATTACAGAGGGATATTTAAAAATCAATGGACAGATGTTTCGAGTCCAGAAAAGATGAACAATAAATTTGGAGTATAGAACAATGAAAGAATGAGAATATAATTGAAATGAACACTGATTAAATGCAATAAACATCGTCGATGGCCTTCACTAACCTGAAATTAATCGATGAAAATAGCCCTCAATCGCCGGCGCACTGTACTTGGACTCACGAAATCGAAGGTGCTTCGTTTACTGAGAATGAATGCTCCAAAAACTCTGCCCAACGGAGGTAGGCGGTCGGAATAGTAGACGAAAGATGGAGGGGCAACGAGAAATCTGCGAGGTGAGTTGAAGATGTGTTGACGAATTGCAGTTGGAACGAGATTGAGTGTGGGCGAGAGAAGATGGAAAAGAAGAAGGAAGTTTAAAATTGGGTCTATTCGTATAGATAGGCATGAACGATCATTTGGAAATTGAGATGACGTCAGCAAAAGATTAGAAAACATTAGTTTTGAAAAAGATGATTAAAAAACAATCCTACCCTAGTAGAGGGTTATTAAGCCCAAAATTCCCCAAATTTAAGTCAGTTCTAGGAGGTGTATATTGTTATATGGGATTTTGGACGGAATAGGCATTTTACCAAGTCATTATTGTTTTTTAATCACTATTTTCAAAACCCTCATTATCCCTCCACTAATATTTTAGATTTCCCTCCCTTATTTCCTCTTTCTACCCCATCTCCCTTTTTTCCATATTTTTTTTTCCTTTCCTCTTCCTTGTTTTCTCATTCTTCTCTCTTTCTCTATTCCGCTCTCTTTCTCTCTTCCGCAACCATGAGTTTTTTCTTCTTTAAATTACTTACCACAAAAAGCAATTTACTCTAAAAAAATCCAAAATCTCTCCGCTTTTTTTTAACCAGTAGTCTTCATGATTCTTGTGACCTACAGCAATCGCCGGCGGATGCATCAAAGCCGACGAGGGAGGTCGTTCGATGGGGAAGGAGATAGAGAGAGAGAGTTGAGCGAGAGAGACACGAGCGAGAGAGACATGGGCGAGAGAGAGAGATGAGTGAGCGAGAGATGAGTGAGAGAGAGAGTTTGAATTCCCGTATCTTACTTTGAGGGGGAAAAAAGAAAAAATTTCCTCTCAAATCCATATGCCATTATTTAAATTTTTTTTATTTGATAGTATCTAAAAATAGGATTTTTAATGAGATTGTTTTTTGATAATATCTAAAAATTAATTTTGATTTATCAATTCAATATCATTAAACAAATTTATAAGGGGAGTAATTTCAAATGTTTTGAAATAAAATACAATTTACCTACAAAATAATAATAGTAATAATAATAAAATTTTGAATGAACATTTATCAATTCAATATAATTAAAAAAATTTATAAGGTGAATAATTTCAAATGTTTTGAAATAAAATGTCGTTTACCTACAAAATAATATTAGTAATAATAATAAAATTTAGTTAATTTAAATGAAATCATAAATAAGATTAAATCGATCCGATCTAAATAAATTTTGAAATAGTTTGGTCAAATTCAAAATAAAAATAATTAACAAATAATCATTAAAGATTTTTTTAATTGAAAATTTTAGAACTGGATCCCTCCTCAATCTCTTAAGTTGGTAAGGAACGATAAGTATTCAAATTTAATTTGTTTCCTGAAATCTCTTCTCAATCTACTTAAATCTCTCATTTAATGTAGTTTTTAGTTATGATTGGATTTCAAATCTAACCACCCAATTTCGCTTTCCCTTACTATATATATTTTGGCGAGAGAGACCGAACGAGACGAGAGAGAGAGACCGAGTGAGACTGAGAGATCGAGAGAGACCGAGCGAGTGATAGAAGAGAGAGACTGAAAAATCAGTGA